CTTGAATTTTCCTAATATGCATCACCCTCCCCCTTCTCTCTCCTGCCCAGCACGTACCCTCTCAGGTTGCAGAGAGAGGCTTAGTCTCCACCTCCCCACTGAGCACTGTTTTTGCCTCCCTTGAAGCAGCAGCTGCTGTGGAGAGAGCCTGGCCCTGCAGTCTAGACCTGGACTCCAGACCCAGCCTTCCCACTCACAGTGGCACCTTTGGGAGCCTGTTTCCTCCCCTGCAAAATGATTCCATGGAAAACGGATTCTGAGTCTGATCACTATGACTGCACACCACTAGCCTGCCTCATCCTCTTATCCCTCCTTTTCTACAGCACCAGCCGGCCGCGGGCCATGGCTATCCTTGGAACGGAGGGTCGAGGCTCCTTCTCCTGCCCTAAAACCAAGACTGATGGGAGCCCCAAGGTAACTTGTCATATAATGGTAAAGTTACTGATGCGGAATAACTTTCCCAAGGCCTGAGGTCATTGACTCTGAGTGATGTACTACAGTCACTGATCCCAGACTGACCCTATTAAAGTCAGGGACCTAAGAAACTTCCACCCTACTGACTTGAGGCTGGTTAGCCCCTAACCCTTGCCCCCTTTTTCCTTTTTTCAGAGCACAAGCTCTCCAGTAACCACTTATCACCTGCAGCGGGCACTCCCCGGGGGCATCATCCTCATCGAACTGGTGTTCCAGGTAAGCAGGAGGAGCACTGAGTGGAGAGAGTCAGATGCACCAGCCTCTCACCCTCCTGATCTCATCTTCACTCTTCCTTCAGGGCTGTTATTTCTGTGTCAAACAGTTTGCCCTGGAATGTTCCCGAATCCCAATGGGGCAGGCTGTGAACTCACAGGTATGTGGCTGAGGTGTGGGCACAGTCATTGTACCCCAGTGTCCTGTGGGCAGCATGGCTCCATGTCTTATCTGCTGGGCAGCAGAGTAATGTAGTGGGTAGGCTGGCCCAGTGACTGATCCAGTGCTGCGGCCTGGCTAGGTCAGTGCTCATTCTGGTGCCGTGACTGCGTGCTGTCAGTCATCCAGAGCAGGTTTAGCTGTAGCCCTGAAGCAGTACAGTGCCTGGTCTGGCCTGTGGTCATCTAGAGTCTGTGGCAGACCCTCGTGGAATCCGGGATACAGGAAAATGGCCCAGTCTCTCAAAATGACCCTAGTTTCATGGAAACAGTTACAATATGATATGAAAAATGGAGGCTAGAATGGGGAGGCCTTCCCACAGAAACCAGTCTGGCAGAGGGCGTTCCACTGGGCCATAGCAGCAGGGGAAGTCTTTCGCTTCTTCACAGGGAAGAAGGAAAATGTGTATTGGGCAGCCAGTGCAGCCACACCCTAACCCTGTCTCCTGCTGCTGCCTCCCCAGCTATCCATGCTGTTCACAGAGGAGTGTGACAAGGTGCGGGACCTGATGCACGTGCACTCGTTCAGCTATGACTTCCACCTGCGCCTCGTGCACCAGCACGTGCTGGGTGCCCACCTAGTGCTGCGGCACGGCTACCATCTCACCACCTTCCTGCGACACTTCCTGGCCCACCACCCTGATGGACCCCACTTTGGCCGCAATCACATTTACCAAGGTGAGTGCCCAAGGGCAAGCCAATAAACCCAAAAAAAGAAGAGGCCACAGGTGGCTCCAGGTCAGGGCTGATGGGACGACCTCCCTGGACACATGGGCCCATGTTGTTAATTACCTCATGTCACACATACCATGTTCCCATGTTTCTATCCTGTGACTGTCTCTCACCAGAGCTGGGACCCCATGTTACCCGTCCCTGCTCTCTGTTCTGAGTCATTTTTGTCCTGTCTCTGTGTTCCACAGGAATGCAGGAGCTCCCAAGAAAAGCAGACTCATTCTGCCTGCCAGTCAGAGCCTTAGAGACTCCCATCCCTGTGCCCCACCAGATCAGTGTGTCCGTTCTAGGCTTAGTGTCCACTGTCTATTACTTACCCTTCAGGGACACTGGAGCTCCCCACCCCACTCATTGCTGCCCACCAGCTGTACAACTACGTGGCTGACCATGCCAGCTCTTACCACATGAAGCCACTGCGAATGGCCCGGCCAGGGGGCCCAGAACACAATGAGTATGCCCTGGTGTCAGCCTGGCATAGGTAAGGCTGGGAGTAGCATCCAGCACGCATGCTGCAGGAGCTGCGGTTGGGGCACACTTGCAGTAGAGAGACCTGTTTTCTGGGGGCAGAAGGGGTGAGAACCCCAGTTGACATCTCCCCAACCTGTCCTACACAGCTCTGGCTCCTACCTGGACTCTGAGGGACTTCGCCACCAGGATGACTTTGATGTGTCTCTGCTTGTCTGTCACTGTGCTGCACCCTTTGAGGAGCAAGGAGAGGCCGAGCGGCACATTCTGCGGTCAGCAGTTCCCCTATCTCAGACATGCCCATTTCCCAGCATGCCTCCCACCCTGCCCTGTGTGTCTCTTGCTGTGACCGCCACTCTCCTGCCCTGCTCCCTACCCCAGGCTACAGTTCTTCGTGGTGCTCACCAGCCAGCGAGAGCTCTTCCCCAGGCTCACTACTGACATGCGCCGCTTCCGGAAGCCACCCAGACTGCCCCCTGAGCCAGAGGCTCCTGGGAGTTCAGCTGGCAGTCCTGGGGAAGTCTCAGGGCTTGTTCTAGCCCCTGGACCGGCTCCTTTGTTCCCACCACTGGCTGCAGAGGTGGGCATGGCACGGGCACGGCTGGCTCAGCTGGTACGGCTGGCTGGAGGGCACTGCCGTCGGGACACCCTCTGGAAGCGCCTCTTCCTGCTGGAGCCGCCAGGGCCTGATCGACTACGGCTAGGGGGGCGCCTGGCCCTGGCAGAGCTGGAGGAGCTCCTAGAAGCAGTCCATGCCAAATCCATTGGGGACATCGACCCCCAGCTGGTAAGGGACTGTGGACTCCAGAAAGAGCTGGGATAGCTGCCAGGAATTCCACTGGCACCCAGAGCAGAGGGCACAAGAATCTGAGGTGAGTGGAACAGCAGACTCAGGCCTGTGGCTCCTCCCCCAGGACTGTTTCCTATCCATGACGGTCTCCTGGTACCAGAGCCTGATCAAAGTTCTTCTAAGCCGCTTCCCCCAGAGCTGTCGCCATTTCCAAAGCCCAGACTTGGGAACTCAGTACCTGGTAAGTCCCCTTGACCTTCCTCTGAAAAGGGAAACACAGCAGAAACCCTCACCAGACAGATGCACCCCTCTGCCTGAGCAAACAAGCTGTGCTCTGGAGGGAGGCCTAGACAGAGCAGGACTACACAGAAACACATAAAACCCTTCGAGTACTGGGCATTGAGCCACAGCATGTGATTCTCAGCAGCTCTGCCCTCAGAGACTCACCAAAAACACAAACCTTGGCTTGAGATCCCGAGGGCCAGGCTCTGGAACTGACAACCCAGGGAGCTCTCAGAACTTCATCAGTGGTTGGTGTCAGAGGCTGGAGCCCCAGAAAGGACCCCTTGGGCTTTGAAGCCTTGTGACTCAAAGTGTGGTCCACAGACCAGCAGCCACAGCACCTGGGAGCTTGCTGAAATGCAGGCTCTCCAGCCACACTCCAGACTGCTGACTCAGGATCTGCAGGCTAGCAGTCTCCCCAGGTGATTTGTGTGCAAACTGAAGTGTGAAAGCACTGCTGTAAAGGACAGGTAGAGAGAAGAGAGCTATGGTGGTGGGCCCTAGCATGGGGCATTAAGGAGCCTGCAGAGATGGGCCCGGCCAGAGCTGAGGTTCAAGAAAGGAGGAATTTGAGAGAAGACTTCAAGTGAAAAAGTAGGAGTTGGAGTCAGGTAAGGAGTCCTACTGCACAGTGCTTGTGCAGAGGATTCATTTCAGGGCGCAGGAAGGGTCTCCTAGGGAAGCCTATGTCAGTTAGGATGAGGCTGCACTAGGTTGTGAATAAAGGGGGGTGCACCTGTGGGCAGTGGGAAGGCTGGAGCAGGAGTGGGTTTTGGCGAAGGGTAATGAGTCCAGCTTGGGGCAAGCTGAGTCTGAAGTCTAGAAGGCCCTTCACGGTCTGCAAGGCCTGTGGGCATCAGGATTGCAGCTCAGGCGAGTCCTAGGCAACAGCTCTGAACAGGCGGTAACTGAAGCCTTGGGAGAGCAAATCATCCCACTATGGGTCACCAAGCGCAGCATTCGGGAGCTGACAGACATAAGGGGACAGGACAATCCCAGGAGGGGTCAGAGAGGAGACCCAGGACAGGAGGCCAGGAGGTTGTGCCAGGGGTACAGTGCTCTCCATTGATTGGCTTCAGTGTGCTAGGCTCTGTTTGGGGCCTCCAGGATCAACTATTACCCCTCATTCTGACACAGCTCAGACAGGCTGACCGGAAAGCCAGCAAGGATGAGGATTGAGGCTCAATTTGGAGACACAGTCCTATGTGACCTTGGGGTACAGGTGGGGTGAGGGATAGAGATGGAAGTAGGCCTCTCCGCATCCTCCCTTCACCTCAGGACCTCTGTGGGAGGGTCTTTGCCACCTCAGGGGGAGACAGACCTCAGTCCCCTCCTCATCTTTTGCTGCAGGTTGTGCTGAATCAGAAGTTCACTGACTGCTTTGTGCTAGTGTTTCTGGACTCCCACTTAGGAAAGACGGTGAGAACAAGTAGGGGGCTTTGTTTCAGCCTAGTGGGAGGCCATATCCCAAATGCTCCGCCTCAGAGCCTGTTGAGATTGGGGTCCCCACCCATGCCCTTCTCTCACCAGCACACCCCCACGGTGTTCCCCACAGTCTCTGACAGTGGTTTTCCGAGAGCCCTTCCCAGTGCAGCCCCAGGACAGCGAGAGCCCCCCTGCCCAGCTGGTCTCCACCTATCACCACCTGGAGTCTGTCATCAACACAGCCTGTTTCACTCTCTGGACCCGCCTCCTCTGAGGGAGTGGACTGGACCACTGAACGTCACTATTCCTCAAATCATAGGTCTACAATGTTGCCCGCCAGAGGCAGGACCGACCAGCCCTTCTGGGCCCCAGGATAGGCCAGACACTGAGTGACACCAAAAGCTTTGGGACTATGTCGGGGGTCTGCTGCCCCAGCCTGGCAGCAGGAACTGCCCTCCCCAAACACCCACAGCCACTGACCAATCCAGGACTCCATCCCCTTACACCTTTTGGGCCCTTTTGGGGCACTCCTTTCTGCCCACCTGCTAGAGTCCTGGGAGTTGCAAGCACACAGGATTGCAAGCACTCACCCCCTAGAGCTCCATTGCCTGAATCCTGCCGCCAGCCTTTGACCACTGTCAGCCACCTACGCCCCTTGAGCCCTCAGGTCTTCATTTCCCACTTGGACATCACTGCTGGACATTCCCATCGAGATAACACCTGGGTTCCAATCCCAGCTCTTCCTTTGAAGCACCTGGGACCACTGTCAAGTCTCTGCTCTCGGACCCTGGGTTTCTCATCCTTTAATGAGGAGGTGGACTCAGAAGCTCTCCCATCTCCACAGCAACCCTGGCATTGGCTTCTCAGTGGGAGGGAAGCAACAGAGAAACTGAAGTGTTAGACACTGTGTGTCCCCCCACCCCATAACAGAGATATATGACAGTGTTCAGCAGGTCATCTTTAATGCAGAGGAGACAGGATTTCACTTGCTGTCTGGAGGCACATGGGTGGTGTGCAGGCCCTCACTGGCCAGCCTCTGGGTGGCCTCGCCTGTCCCAGTATGACCGTAGCCAGCTCAGGCCCTCTACTGTATCTCCTGTAGGGAGAGAGAGACCTTGGCATCTCAGCCCACATGGAGAAAACAGCCCCTGGCCAAGTTCTTCCAGAGCTCCCTTCCCCAGGGCCATGCCTCACCTTGAGGCCGGTACTCGCAGCCCACAAAACCTTTGTAGCCTTCATCTTCCAGCAGTTGAAACAGATAGGGGAAGTTCAGCTCTCCGGGGCTGCTGGGCTCCCCTCGGCCTGGGACCTGTGCCACCTGTACGTGCCCTGGGGACAGATGAGGACAGATGTGGGGTCTGGGCTCCTGCCAGGGCCTGAAGGAGAGATGTGGGGATTGAAAGGGTGAAAGAGCAAAGAAAGCTCCTCTCACCAACAATGGGCAGGAACTCCCGGATGTTTCCTGTCAGGTTCCCATCCATGATCTGCCAGTGGAATATGTCCTGGGGAAGAGGATTCTACAGTCCAAGACCCCATGGGCTCCGCCCTCCTTCCAAGATTGAGAGACCGGGCTCTCTGCAAAGTACCCCCTTTCTTCCACTTACCATTTGTAATTGGAGGTTGGGTCTTCCCACCTTCTGTAAGATGGCTGCCGCTGGAAGAGAAGCCAGGGAGTGGGTCATGAACCTCAAGGAAAGCACAGGTATCCAAAGGGACAGAAGGATCCAGAGGCCTGGGGTCCTACCCTGCTGGGGCGTGTCCAGGAAGTACTGGGGGTCAGTGATTCGGGTGTTGATGGGCTCCAGCAGTCCCACGAGGTCCTCCTAGCAGCATGTCAGGTGCTGTGAATAGAGCTCCTTCCCAGGTTTGTCCCCCATCAGTCACTGGTCAAGGCCCTCACCTGTCCTTCTGACCTAGGCCGGCAGCCAGCCTCGTGCCTCACATGCTGTCTCCACTGGCACCCCTCCACTCACATATGTGAGTACGTGTGTCTGTGTTTCCACCTTTCTCACCTGAGCCAAAACCCCAGCTGCATGCCTCAGATTCTCTAGAAAAACGGTCTCCATCTCAGCCTTGATTGCTGCCGGGTCAGCCCCCTGGGGTACTCGGCCAGCCATCAGGTGGATCCTGTGGAGAAGATAGCCTGGAGGCTTTGCTTTCCTTGGCTCTCTTTACAACTCTCCCAGGATTCCCTGACTGTGCCGGCCTCGCCTGTCTCCCCAAGTCTCCGGTCCATGGCACCTGGGCTACGATGCCCAGGCATCCAAGCACTTTCAGAGACACTTCAGTGACGGCGGAGGGGCAAGCCCTCTCCCAGACACCTCAGCGTCCACTCCCCCCTCCTCCAGTAATTTGCACCTCTCCTTCCCTCGGTCCTTCTCAACATACAACCTGCAAAAGTCTCACCTTTAAAAATTATCCTGACCCTTGCCCATCTCAGGTATTTCATGCTGCTGTTTCTATTTCCTCTCCTCCCATCTACTTCTTAGCCTCTTCCCATCTGTTTTCTCCCCTATCATTCACCATAGTGATCACATTGCCAGTTCCTTCTGAGCCTGTTTGGCCTCTGCAGGATTTGGCATTTGATCAGCCCCAGTTTGAGCCGTCCACCTCCTCCTATCACCCAGATCTTAGCCACATTCAGCTCCAAGCCAACATTCCAGGCCTCCCCACCCCAACAGGCTACCCTTCCAGCCTCAGGAACGCTGCTGAACACACCAGGCCTCCTCTTGCCACAGCACCCTTGCCAGGAATACTGTACCTCCTGCCCATCAAGCAATGCCCACTCCTTCAAGACAGTCCAAGCATCACTACCTGTAAGCAGCTTTCTCTGATCCAGACAGGGTTAGGTGCCTACCCTGCTCCCACAGCTTCCTTGAATAGGCCTGTCCTCAAATGGATCACTGCGTAGATTTACTCTCCTATCTCCCTAGGCAGACTGAGCTCCCAGCATGGAATCCCGGCATGGGGTGAACATGAAAGAGTGGCAAACAGACTGGCACAGGACAGATAAAATTAAAAAGGCAGTTTACAAAGGGCCAGGACCACAGGGGCGGAGATAGGCCAGTGGGCTCAGACTTTTGAAACTCTGGCGTCCTCGACGCCCTTAACCTGCGGCAGGGTCATGGGTCACAGAGGGGTGTGGGATGGGAGGGTACCTGGGACAGCCCAGGGCCTTGGCGTACCGCACCGCCTGCTCCAGCCCCTCTCGGAAGGCCGCCTGTCTCCCGGGTACGGCCCCCAGCCCCATTTCCCCCTTCTCTTGATCTCCTGCAGAGAGAACGGGCCTCAGCCCTCAGCTCGGGCACGCACGCCCCTGCCCCTCCAGCCCTCCCGGCCTGCCGCGCACCCGGGGGCGTGTTGATCAGCACCAGCCGTAGCCCGGCTTCCTGCGCCGCCCGCGCCAGCGCCTCGGGCGGCTCCGCGTAAGGCCAGGCCACCTCGGCGGCCTCGAAGCCCGAGCTGCCCGCGGCCTGCAGCCGCGCGAGGAGGCCAGGGAGCTCGGGGAATAGCCAGGACAGATTGGCGGAGAAGCGCAGCGGCGCCATGATGTGGGAGGCCGGACCGGGCAGAGGCCGCGGGCCGCGGAGGCGGCGGGCGGGGCGGGACTCTTCGTGCTGGCCCTGCGAACAAAAGCGCACTGTTCAGGGTTAGAAGAAGCGAAGTGCTGTAAAAACCCGGGTCTTCGCGGAAAGTGCCTTACGTTAGCTGGAGAGGAAGCGCGGGGAGGGGCGGAGGGGCGGAGGGGCGGAGGGGCGGGGCCGGCACCAGGAGGAGGTGGGGAGGCCGGGCCCCGAGTCTGAGAGCCGGGCGCGGGGCAAGAGAGCTGCCTGAAGGCGCGGTTGCAACCATGGGACGTGCACTTTAATACTGAGTCTCTCTTCTGATTGTAAAAATGCTATCTGTTCATGAAGCAGCATTTGAAAGCTGTATGACCAAATAAAGCAGCACTTTCATACCACAAGTTTTCACACCACTTCCCGTCCAAATTTTAAAATATGCCATTTTTTCTTTGAAAATTCTGATCATTCGGTGTATGCGGTTTTATAGGCCTTTTTCATGGAATATTATTTTAACGTTTCCAATAGCCTTCAAAGTCAGCGCCGTCGCTGCTCATTGTCGCACACCTAAGCACCAAGTCATTATTGTACTCCGTGGACGGCTAACGCGCGCGCACCGCAAGCGCACTTTCATGCACGTCTTAGTCCCTATCTCGGACTCTTTTTCGAGTCCTTTTCTAGAGTTGTCCATCACAGTGTTTGTCCGTTCACACCGTTTGTCTTTTGCAAGGGAAGCCGCCCCATTAAGCAGCTCTGGGTGAACTGTCCCCTCTTAGCCTTAGCCTCAGCTGATTGGACCAGGGAGGTCATCTGATCACAGGGCAGCCAATCCATAGACTGGCCAAAGACCTCTCACTTGCGTCGCTTGCCGAGATAATCTAACCAATCAAGAGTTCAAACAAGGAAATGCTAAGAGTCAACAGGTGGTGTTACTGGAAGATGACTAGGCTGTACAAACGAAATAAGGTAGAGCGTCCTATGGTACAAAAAAAGCTAGAGCGGAAAGGAGCGGGGAAAAGTCCTGTGAATAGAGGCAGCACACTGAGAAACTCCTGCAGTCGCAGGGGTGCCCAAACCCATAGCTGCTCCCAGGTGTGTGCACTTAAGGCTGGGATGCTTAGACTTCCCTGGGTTTCAGTGTCTGTATACCCTTTTAATGTTTCTTGAGATAATTTGAATGATTTTACTTTCATCTTCAATAACTCAACTGATTGGGCAGGTACTTACGGGTAGAATTACGTGGTCAAAAATAGGAACATATTTAAGTTACTGATGTGCTAAATTTCTTTTGAAAAATGTAGATTTATGTCCCAACAGTTCATGAGTAAACGTCATATTGATCTATCGTCTGTGCTAACTTTGACAGAGAAGCTGAAAATGCAACATTACGAACACCCAGCTCCCACTGTTCGTTCTGTCAATGCTCAACTCCATCTCAAATGAGGCCAACTCAGACATCAGGGATCCAGCCTGATCCCGTAGTGAACTCAAATGCTTGGCAGGTTCCGTCTCTTCAGCTCCGCCTCCAAGAACAGACTGCCACGAGCTGACACTGATCACCTGATTTCTTGCCCATTTGAAGCTGGTTTTGCACTAGGACCTTTGCCTTGTCCTGGAAGGTGTTTCTTGGGTATAGTCCAATCAAGATCTCACTAAGTTTATCATTGTAACCAATCCCAACTTTAGTGTGTTTGCAATCCAAAATTGTAATTCCTTTATTACCATCTCAATGTTAATCCCCTAGTATGCAAATTTTATTTATGATGTTGAAAGCACCACCATCTGCTGAGCTCTGCGTCAGGAACAAAATGTGTCGAACTCCCAATGGTCCACCCCTTTTTTCCTTGGACATCTCTTAGGGCAGTAAACATTATGTATAAACTAGACATACATGACTCACGTTCCCCCTAATTCCCTTACAACACCTTCATATTATATGCCAAGATAAATATATAAAGAGTGCAATGTCCATGAAAATTATTTGTTTTATTCACCTTTATCTGTGTCTTAGGCCACCTTGCAACACAGCCATGACATTAAGTTATCACAAGTCTTGATTATTTGCATTTGACTTCTTTTTGGCTTTATTGTGCTTCACAGATACATATTTGACTTTTAACCAAATAATTTGCACAGGTGTGATGTTAAAGTAACAACAATTTGTAAATAGTTGCATGGATAATGGCAAAAACTAGTACAGAGTTCAGAGTCTCAGTCGATCACTGGATAGCATTTGGCAATGCAGTAAAACATATTAGAACTCATGTGAAATGCAAATCAAAACCTCAATGAAATTCCATTTTATGCCTTCCAGATTGGCAAAAATAAAAAAAGACATTATCAAATATTGGATAGGATTTGGAACAACTGCTGATAGGAGTATAAATCACTATAACCTCCTTGAAAAACAGTTTGGCATTGTCTCTTAAAGCTGATATGCCTTTGAGCCAACATTCCTTGCCCAGGTGTAGCCCCTGAAGAAAGTGTTGCACAAGTGTACCAGGAAACAAGTAAAGTGATGTTCACAGCTGAACTATTCATGTAGCAAAAAGATGGAACTAACTCAAATGTCCATCCATCCATATATAGATGAGTTGTATAACAGTATAGCCATACCATGTTGTGCAAGAGAAAGCTGGTGGCTCAAATGATAAAACTGAGTGTGTTGTTGTATTAGGGCAATATATGAAGACCTTAGTGAAGTTTGGTTGGAATTGAAAAACATCATTATGAAGGCATCAAGTAGATAAGTCTCAGAAACATAATCTAGAGGAAGAAGCAAATCACAGAGAAATATATACACTGTGATTCCATTGATACAGAGTCAAAGGCAGGGAAAACCAACAGGGTCTTGTGTAGGAATATAGACATCTCTGGAAAAACAATGACGAGTAAGTGAATATTTATCACAAAATTCAGCATGATGGTGATGACCTCTAGAGGAGGAGCAAAGAGGATGGCATTGGAGCCTCTGAAAGCATTAGTTATCCCTTCTCTTACCTTGGATAACACAGTCACGTATGTTAATGTTACTAGTCTTCTTTAGAGCTAACATATATTTTATAAAGATCATTTTGTATCTGTTTTATATTTAATAAAAACACATCTTTGAAACCTGTATGCATTACTGCCATCTGTTAGCACATTTGATATATATGAACATCCTCATTGTGGTATCATTATAGTCTCAAGATTTTTCTACAGGTTCAGCTTGTTTGTATTGTTTGTCTGGTTTGAATAATAATGACTACTTTTTAGACTCAACTTGTCACTGCTCAGTATGGTGGTCTTTATTGTATTATCTGCCCAGAACCTGTGGCAGACAGCCTGTAAAATGGTCCCGAATGGGTCAGAGGGAGTGGCTCATGCCTGTAATCCCCGCATTTTGGGAGGCTGAGGCAGGAGGATAACTTGAGCCCAGGAGTTTGAGACCAGCCTCAGCAACCTAGTGAAATCCCATCTTGACAAAAGTATAACAATTGGCCAGGCATTTGTGTGGCATGTGTGTGCAGTCCCAGCTACTCCAGAGGCTGAGGTGAGAAGATCACTTGGGTCTGGGGGATCAAGGCTGCAGTGAGCTGTGATTACACCACTGCACTCCAGCCTGGGTGACAGACCCTGTCACATAAAATAAAATAAAACTGATTGACCATTAGCAAGATTAACCAAGTAAAGAGGAGAGAAAATCCAGATAGCCTTACTAAGAAATGAAACAGGAAATATTACAACTGACACCACTGAAATACAAAAGCTCATTCAAGGCAATTATGAACACCTTTATGCACATATACTAGAAAACCTAGAAGAAATGGATAACTCCTGGAAAAATACAGCCCTCCTAGCTTAAATCAGGAAGAATTAGATACCCTGAACAGACCAATAAGAAGCAGTAAGATTGAAATGGTAGTTTAAAAATTACCAACAAAATTAAGTCCAAGACCAGACAGATTCACAGCAGAATTCTACCAGACATTCAAAGAACTGGTACCAATCCTTTTGACACTATTCCACAAGACAGAGAAAGGAGCCCTCCCTAAATCATTCTATGAAGCTGGCATTACCCTAATACCAAAACCAGGGAAGGACACAACCAAAAAAGAAAACTACAGACCAATATCCCTGATTAGCATAGATGCTAAAATCCCTAACACGATACTAGCTAATCGAATCCAACAACATATAAAAAAGATAATCCACCATGATCAAGTGGATTTCATACCAGGGATGGTTTAACATATGTAAGTCAAAAAAAAGTGATAACACTACATAAACAGAATTTTAAAAAATCACATGATCATCTCAATAGATACAGAAAAAGCATTCAGCTAAATCCAGCATCCCTTTATGATTAAAACCCTCTGCAAAATCTGCATATATGGGACATACTTTAATGTAATAAAAACCATCTATGACAAACCCACGGGCAACATAATACTGAATGGAGAAAAGCTGAAAACATTCCCTCTGAGAACAGAAACAAGACAAGGATGCCCACTCTCACCACTCCTCTTCAGCATAGTACTGGAAGTCCTAGCCAGAGGAATTAGACAGGAGAAAGAAAGGGCATCCAAACTGGTAAAGAGGAAGTCAAACTGTCCTTGTTTGCTGATGGTATGATCATTTAAATACCTTGAAAACCCTAAGGACTCCTCCAGAAAGTTTCTAGAACTGATGAAAGAATTCAGCAAAGTTTCCGGATATAAGATTAATGTACACAAATCAGTAGCTCTTCTATACACCAACAGTGACCAAGTAGAGAATCAAATCAAGAATTCAACCCCTTTTACAATAGCTGCAAAAATAAATAAATAAAACACTTAGGAATATACCTAACAAAGGAATTGAAAGATCTCTACAAGGAAAACTACAAAACACTGCTGAAAGAAATAATGGACAACACAAACAAATGGAAACACATGCCATGCTTATGGAGGGCTAGAATCAATATAGTGAAAATGACCATACTGCTGGCCGGGCATGTGGGCTCACGCCTGTAATCCCAACACCAAATCTGCTGGCACCTTGATGTTGGACTTCCCAGCCTCCAGAACTGTGAAATCTATGACTGTAGTTGAAGCCACCAGTCTATGATATTTTGTTATCACAGCCCAAGCTAATACACCAGCCAACGGCTGGCAAGAACCTGAAGCCTGCCAACAGCCGCATGAGTGAGCTCAGAAGCAG